ATATTTCTTCAATAAATCAAACAACTCAACAAGAAAATAAAAATAAACACCTACAATTCGAGAGGTGACGATCTCTCCCAATACCTACAATTCGAGAGATCTCTCTCAAAACTTAAGCTTAAGACTCACAACTCAATCTCATACATAAACCTAACCCTAGATATAACAAGCTTATATATGCCCAATAACAATAATAATTAAATATTAAATTGTCCTTAGGGTAAACGCTCTTGTAAGAACTCTCCCTCCCACTTCCCAAAAGACACCTCGAGGTGGAAAAAATGAGTGTTCCTCCTCACTCATAGTTGTCTCTATTTACTTATTCTCTGCTTCCTCATCTTGCACTATGAGAACTTGTAATCTTTGATCCTTGCACCGATGTCCCAAGTTAAATTTCTCATCACACTGAAAACATGGCCTCTTGGCTCGCCTCTCTTGAATTTGTCTCTGTAAGGCACTTGAGTGTTTCTCTCAGTCGTGGTCCATTATTCGTGTCCCATGCAACTCCCTACCTTTCAATGTCTAAACTTTTGACATCGTCGAGGTTGCAGTAGTTCACTACGATGCTCCATCTTTGTTGATCCTGTCGGATTTCTTTATCTCGTTTTTGTCTTCCACCATCTGGGCTAGCTCCATCTCCCTCAATCCCCGCAATCTTAGTAGTCAAAGTGCTAATTGTATGGTGGGCTTTAAGCTCTTAATGAAATTGCCCTCCAGTCCTGCTTTAGAAATCCCCCATAGTCGTCCCTATAATGGTTCTAATCTCTCCCTATATTCCATGATTGTCCCCTCCTGAGTCAAGACATAGAATTGTTCATGCAGGTCTCCTTTTTAAATGACTCAAAAATGTTCCAACAATCAATCATTAAATTTATCGCATGAATGAATTGGGTATCTAGCCTCTCTCCACTGAAACCATGCTAAGGCTTTCCCCTCCAAACACAATCTTGCCGCCATAAGTTTCTCCTTCTCATCTATCTCATTCCCTGTGAAGTATCGCTCCGCTCGATACACCCACCCATGTTCGTCTCCACCTCGAAGATCGATATCATCAACTTCCTAATTTTAACATAACTACAATTTCCTCTTCCTCTGTTTCCCTTCTTGTATCGAGGGTAAAACTCCTTCCTTCGATCGTAGCTGAATCCACTCACTGCTTCTCTCATTTCTTCTTTGTGCTCCTCCATACCTCTTGCATAATTCCTTCTCCATGTTTCAACCCAACTGATTCCATTATAAATCTCTAATCCTCATCTAATCAAAGCATTGAGAGGAGGTTCATGATGGTGGATGCTTTGCTCATGTTCATTACCTTCGATTTCTTTTTATTTTGATCTTGCCACGGATTCTCCAATCAACATTTGGTTAGAATTTGTAAATTGAGTTGTCGGCGGGTTCTTGGATTGCATCTCAATGAACCTCTTTTGCATCTCTCAAATTTTCTCCGTGCTCTCAAATCAATCTTCCAGTCGGTTCCTTAAAAGAGAACCTCTCATATGACAACGAATCTTTCTTCCATTCTAAAATTTATTTGACTTATCTCTTCCTCCAATTTTTTTTCTAAATCATCCGCCTTTTTGATCCCATCATGCCAAGAAAAAATTTTAATCACAAAGCACAAAAACCCAAGCACGCTAAAATCCCGTCTAAGTGATTCGCGGGATTGCATCACGAGTACATATTCCCGTCGTTGATCTGAATAGCTTCGGCACAAGTAAGCAGAAATACAATAATTTCGTACGTGGAAGACTGTCTGTAAGTTAAATTAAGTAGAAGAAATCTAGTTCGGTGAAATAAATCACAAATCCGAGCAAAGCCTGATTGCTCGAATTGCATCGCAGTAGCGGCGATCCCGTTGTCAGGCTTGGACGTTGTGAGAACTTGAGAAAAACCAATGTTTACTGTCTCTGTACATTGCTTCCCCGCCGCTGCCTTCCTCCCTCGGCTTTGTCGCTCTCCTCGGTAAACCACTATCCCTTCGTGGCTCAAAAGTGCGACTGTATGCAATCCCTATGTTGTAATCCGTGGTTGATAAAGATTTGAACACCCCATCTGTTTGTGGTTTCCAGAAATCAATGGTGCTGATACTAATTTGATATGATCGTACCTCAAAATCGGCATGCTTTTTCAGAAAAATTAGGGTAAACAAAATTTTTCTTCAATAAATCAAACAACTCAATAAGAAAACATAGATAAATATATACGATTCAAGAGGTAGGCAATATCTACCAATTTCTATATTTCGAGAGGGAGGAAATCTCTCTCAAAACCTAAACTTAAGATTGACAACTCAATTTCATGCATTAATATAATCCTAGACATAACAAGCCTATTTATACCTAACAATAATAATAGTAAAAGACTAAATTTCTTTTAGGTGTCAAAAGAAAAATTTGCCCTTAAGCTAGGCGCTCTCATAACATATGTTTTAGGGTTTATAGTTCTTAATGCACTTAGGATGATGCATGTATGTAGGTTACACAAAATTATAATTTATAAAAAAATACTAGTAAATACAGAAAATGCATTGTTTTAGATGTATGCTCTATATACATGAACTTGTAACTAGATTGATAATGTTAAAATCAATTCAACGAAATCAATAAGAAATTTGAAACATGGAAAATAAGCTAGTAATTGATTTTTTATCTTTTTATTTTTTTATTTAGAATAAAAAATATGACTTGAGCTTGGGCTTATTGTATAAAAAATGATCTTAATTTATTAGAGCTAAATTAAAATATGACACTAAATAGGATGCAATGGAGAAAAAAGATTCATGTAGTCGACCCCATGTAGTGGGATTAAGGCTTTGTTGTTGTTGTTGTTGTATTTTTTTATTTAGTAGTACATGGAATTCAACTTGTAGAAAATTAGAAAAAAATCATTATTCTTGCAAAACCTTAACAAATATTAAACAAAAAAAAAGTATTTTAAAGAGAGATCAGCAAGTTGATGAAAATTTAAGTATTGTGTTAGTATAGGGAGATGTCTTCCTATGAATGTTGTTTATCACACCAGTACCGCATTCAAAGGCATCATATATCAATAGGTACACAGAAGACTAAAATAGAGAATATGAAAATTTAATTGAGTAAAAGTTAAAGTCATTAAATGCATTAACTATGTATAGATTTTTTCGTATGGCCTATAGGGTTGCTCAACTACGAAAAAAATCGAAAGCTCAATTTCTGTGTAAAGTCTTGGAATAGGAACCGAAACTGTAAAAGTGGAAAAGCTTGGATGGGATAATCGTGATTGGCAGCAAAGATCTACTTCTGTACAACCACTTGTCAAATTGGATATAGTTAAGCCGCATCAAGGGTTAGTAGACTTGGCATGCATGTTGGTGATGGGATTCCAATAATTAGCATCACCACTCAAGAGGGGAAGGGTAATCTCAAACAGAAACATCCGAAATTCCTCATTTAAATGACCAACGAATTCTCTTCACCTGTGACCTTAATCCCATATTAACTGCACTTGGAAATAGTTGATTGAGTTCAATTTGACTTTTTAGTGAAATCCTGATATGTGTCAAGGCCCTTTTTTTTGGGTTGAGAGCAGATAGGTTGCACAACATGTTGAATTTTATGGCCATTAGCCATCAAAACTATGCATCGAATAGATAATTTGGTGGAAGGATACTGCATTCATAAAAACTATAATCATAGACATGTCTGTGGAATTACGCTCATTATTATTTACTTTAATGTTATTTAGTACTTGCTATATTTTGTGATAGTATAAAAATAGTAATTCTTAATTATAGGTATTTATGTTTATTCTATAATTATAGGAATTACTTAATTGTAGGAAGATTTCTTTCCTTGTTTTATTTCTTGTAAACGCCTATTTATAGGTGAATTATCTATGTATTCATTGAGAAGAAAGTTATTCAAAAATTCACATGGTATCAGAGACATCAAAGAAGAGAAGCCTCTTCCACTACTAAGTGGAACCGGGCTAATCATTTTTCTGCTTTGAGTTTCCGATGACCGTAAAGATGAGTCCCCATTGAATTTGCCTTGCTTGGCTAAAATTTTGGTGTCTTTTACTCTTGTGCAAAGGCTATTGTATTCTGAAGAGAAATTGTGAAATTGATTCTCAAAGACTTATCCTAACATTAGCTGAGTTGGGAATACTGTTGTAGTTACTTGTGGTTGTAGAGTAGTGCAGTATTTTTTTTCTTTTGGCATTCTTTCCTTGTTGGCTGTTCATCAATTATGCATAGATTGAAACAGGCAAATATCGAGTCACATGCAAACCATCTATAGAAGATCATCATCATCTTTATTTCTTTTTTATTATTGGCGAACCATTTTCATCTCTTAATTGCTAATTTTTTGATTTTGTCACATGTGAAAGTCAAACCATGGTTTATCCTTCTTTGCCGTGCATGCGATTTTGAAATCATTTTCCACTTACAGATATGTAATGTGTTTTGTCAATGCAGGAAAACAGTATTTGGTGGAGCTCGTCCTAGGGAATTTGTAAGCTCCTTATATCTCTGTTTACTATTTCTTTATCTTACTTTTTTGCTGATGTTAAATGCAATTGTAGGTTCTCAAGGAGCGGGCCGTAGATGCTGTTGACAATCTTGAAATTGGTGTACAGTCTCACCGGTAAATTTAGTTTCATTTATGGTTAACAGCAGATTGATTACATTACAGACAATAAACAAATTATTTCTATTGCCAGTACAGTAACTTAAGGATCAAATCCTTGTTAAGGGCATAAAAGAAATTTGAATTGGAGATGCTTAAAAAGACGTTAAATAGCTTGGTGTTTGTTTTTTACGAAGGACTTTTTTTGAATTGGAGATGCTTAAAAAGACGTTAAAGATAGCTTGGTGTTTGTTTTTTACGAAGGACTTTTTTAGTAGTGAGATCTATTTTGAATTGAATAAGAAATTAATAGTATGAAAGGCTCAGGATTAGTGCAACTTAGTACATGGTATAAAACTCTAAGGTACTTAAAATTGACATTTATTAGTTTATATTGCCTGAAGATTTAGTAATTTCTATTAATGGTATAAAACTCTAAGGTACTTAAAATTGATATTTATTAGTTTTTATTGCGTGAAGATTTAGTAATATCTATTAATGGTATCCTCAAGTACTACACTAGATTTATTATTCAAAAAATGAGATAGAGATGGAGTACTATGTAAGTACTATGGAGGTCCAAAGTTAAATATTGTAAATTTTATTTTAAATTTATTATTTAATATAAGGGTTGGATGCATAGGAAAATTAGCTAAAAGAAAAGTAGGATGGGATTGTATCGGATAGAGTGGAAGAAGCACCTGTCAAAGAACGTAATATGGTAATAAAAAAGGGCTGTATTTTGATGGCATATAATGTAGGGAAGATGTTCCCGACGACACTATGATTAGAAGTTGTGACTTTTGAAAATTAGAATCAGCATATGATGTAGAACTTAATGATAATGAATGAAGGATGATTCATAATATTGATCAAATCCTTTTGTACGCTATGATTAGAAGTTGGAACTTTTGAAAATTAGAATGCATCATCAAATGCAGCACTTAATGAATGAAGGATGGTTCGTAATATTGATCAAATCCCTTAGTATTGTTGGGGTGGTTAGTCAACAAGAACAAAATCTAACGTGTATACACTAGATTTTATATTAAGAATTTTGAAATGTATCAAGAAATCTCTAATAAAAGGATCTAGTTTATCAAGTACATAATCATTTAAGGGGTTCAGCCTTTTATGGTTACTCGTGTTGCCTTCTAATCTTTCGGAATAATGCGATTGAGGAAGGTGATGATGGTTTTGCCCCCTTAATTTGCACTATTTTCACGGAATCTTTTATTATGCAGGCTCCAAATTTTTGATATTAGGTCTATGTTGATGATTATGTTATATTCATATGGCGATATAGGGATTTTTTGTTAAATCATTTTTATAATGCTATAACTGGACTTTCTTGGTGCAATGGGGTGCACTTGTTGTATAAACTGTGAGAATGGTTAAGAGCTAGAAAAGGAATAAGCGAGAGAGAAAATGGCCATAAGCCTAGATATTATGCAAAAAGACCGTGAGGTAGAAAGTCTGTAAAAGTTGTGCAAAATAGAGTTAATATTTCATACAGCTCGCCATAGGGATTAATAGAGGATTTATGATGCTGATCTCAAATATTTGTGATATGGCAAATGATTACATTTTAGTGGAAAATGATGCAACATTTCTTAACCTTACGTATGAACAGCCTGTTTGTTTGACTCCATGAACGAGTACTAACTAATTTCTGAAGCGTGTGATGCAACTTTTTGATTTTTCCTTGTTAAATTTGATATTGCTAACTTCTCATGGAATGGCACCTTTACCACTCTATTTCCTCGTTAAGCGTTGCTTTGGATTTGCTTTACAACTATTCTCACACGCTGGACTTTCTTTTAATTGAAATTTAGGGCTAAATCTGATGACTTGAAGATTGAATCAAAGCTGGAACCTGCTGCATCTTCATTCAATCGACATGTCGAAGGGGTGGAGTCATCTCCGAGGAATGGAATGCAGAGAGGAAAGATAATCAACCCTACCAGGAGAAAGGCATTTGTCAGAGGAATTCAAGGAGAAATGAGAACTGGAGAAACCTTAGGGAGATGGAGAAGAAGCCAGTAGAGAGACTGGAAGAGCATGAAACATGGCGGAAGCCTATTGAGCCTCCCAAGCCTGAAACACCACCAGGTCCTCGGGTTATGAGAGCGGCCTCAGCACTGGAACTTGCTCAGGCTTTCTCAAAATCAATGTCTGACTCTAGGGTTGATAATCGCTACACTAATCAGAGGATGCTACCTGGACCAACACAGATTCCCTTCTCCAGGTTGACAGATACAAGAGAGATTTACTCAGGTTCAGCTCAACGCCACATCAATGGCTATTGACCATTACAGAAATAGAAGATTCAATCGAAGCCTGAAATGTTTCATTTTATTTTCAGTCTCTTTATACGTGAAAAGCGTTGTGTTAACTGTATTTTAACCCTTGGATCAATTCAAATAGATTAATCCCCACGCTCTGGAGAGGAGCTTTATGGTCTCAGTACAAGTAACGGTAAACTTTGTGATGCAGTTAATGATGATGGTTGGTTTAAACTTGAGCTTCAATTCTTTCAATTCTTAGTTGGGTGAAAATTTGCCTGTTTTTCTCCTTCGTTTCTTCCTTGTTTTAAAAATATGTCATCACAATTTTTTATTTACAGGACTGCATAATTTGAAAGTTCGTGATAGTTTTATTTTGTATTATATTAGCGTACAGCTGGAACTGGAGTTAGCCTGTTTAGCCGCAACGTAGTGTCGACTGAAGCTGCTTTTGGGGCAGCTTATTGGGCGGCGTTTGCCGCCGCAGTGTTTGAAAAATGTGTTTATTGGTGCCGCTCCGAAACATTGAGGAAGAAGGCGTCCTGTGTCTGCGTAGCGCGTTAGGGTGAGATTTCCTGGTCAGCCCTTCTCCGCTCTCCCTCGCTCTTGCCTTCCCGATCTACCTTCTTCCTCCTCACCTGTGCCGAGATCGAAACCAAGGTAAACATTTTTAACGAAATTCGCCAATCTCGTCCTCCCCGATCTTTCTTCTGTTCATTCTCGCCTCAAATGAGGTATGTAATCCTCCTCCCCGATTTTTTTTGGTTCGCATTTGATATTAGCTATTGTATTCTGTTCATTCTCGCCTCAAATGAGGTATGTCTTCCTCCTCCCCGATTTTTTTTTGGTTCGCATTTGATATTAGCTATTGTATTAGCTAAATTGCCACAATGGGGTGGATAAGGGTGTTCTGAGCTAACGCTGCCATGTATAAAACCCTTCACAAAGAAGGGAGTAGGGAAGAGAATTTTTTCTGATCTAAGGGTGTTGTTGACATATGTCTTAAAATTGTGGTAGGGATATTTGCAGTTGGTTGATTTGGAGTTGGAGTTGGTTTGATTGTATGAAATATTACCTGAAATTTTAGGACATCTCTTTTTTGTTGGTGTGCACTTGATATGCATTAAAGGTTTGCATAATTGGAGTGCCTTAAAGTTTTTCTTTTGTTCTGTAAAGGTGAGAAATGGGTTCTTCAAACATATTGCAATCTCTTCGAACATATTACTAAAGTTTTTCTTTTCTACTGTAATGGTTAGAAATGGGATCTTCAAACACATTATTGATGTTTTCGAAGTGTTCTCCAATGCCCCTATCTTTATTGGCTTATCATGTAGTTTTTGTGACATAAAAAAATAGAGTTTGCAGGAGTTGTGGAAGAAGTGTTCAATTGCTTATCATGTTCTCCAATGCCCCTATCTTCGAATAGAATACTGAAGCTTTTCCATTGGCTTAACATGTATGTTGTGAATGGAGATTTATATGTTGTAATCAACATACATAAGGGTATCCACTTCACTAAAAGTTCTAGCGTAGAATTCTAGTCCCTATTTTTGAACAATGTTTAGGAGATTTGTATGCTGTTGTGGATAGAAATCTTCAACATATTTTTTTTAGGAATAAATGAAAGTTGAGATTAGGGTTATAATAATGATTCGATTTGTATGCTGTAATCAACATACATAATTGTCAAGGGCATTTGCTGGTAAGGATGTTTTTCATTGTCTTCTAAACATTGTTCTTGTAGGTAAAGTAAAGGCATTAAACATAGACATTTTACATTGCCTTTCATGATTCAATTCTCCTACAACTTGTACATAGACTGAAAAGGTTTTATTATTCCACTTCACTAAAAGTTCTAGTGTAGAATTGTAGTCCATATTGTATTTTAACAAGCATGCCCCTTACACTGTCAAAGTGCATAAACTTTTGATAGTTCTATGGGTGCTTGCTCTGACTCCATTTGTTAAAGCTCAATTTGAAAAGAATGGGGAGTATATTCATATCAACTCTATCCATGTGATAGTTCTATGGGTACATACTCTTATAAGTGCTTATTATAAAAACTTATATGCCAAGCAGTTACATTACAAAAACTATATATGCCAAGCAGTTCCATTGGGATGTAGTGGAGGGGGGTGGTGTGATTTGAAATAAATATAAATCACCTTCATCTCTTCCTTTCTTTGGAGGATGATAATTTGTTAGAGTTCATTTTGTTAGATGAAAATTATTTCTTGTTTTGGATGGGAAGATGTTAAAAGTAGATCTACAGTCTTTGTTTATTGTTATTGGGTTTTAGTCATTTGCAAATTTGATTTGATCATATTATTTGGGTGTTTAACTCTCTACCCTTAGTTAGCAGGAGGCTAGAGAAAGAGATTTTTGTTATCCATTAGGTGCTTGTAATAATGCATATACGAATATATGAATGTTTTTCCATCAACAAATTCAATCTTTGAAGGAAGTAAATCTATCATATTATGTATCAAGCTTTACTGGTGCAATTGGGTAAGGTTGGAAACGGTATGAATCATGCTCATTCAGTTCTGTTGCAAACAATTCCACCAAACAGAGGCAAAATGATCATTTTTCCAACAATAACTATTAATAAGCTATTCTTAATAAGCTCCCCCAAACAACAAGTCAGTTTATTCTGATAATCTACAGATTATCAAACAGATTATCAAATTATGAATAATCTGCTTATCAGCAGATTATAAATAATTAACAGCTGCCCCAAACATACCCTGAAGTTCAAAGAAGCTCAAGCCAAACTGCCTTTTTATTTAATTTTATTTTGACGTTATTTGGAAAGAGATTGGCGAACCAACTATAAAGGTTGTAATAGGAAATATTTTTGGATAGTCATTTGTAATGATTAATTGATTAATGATATCCCACGTATAGCAGCATCTCTTAGTATCTTCATTTGCTGAAAAGCTAAAGTAGATGGCTCTCCCAAAAAAAAAAAAAAATATTGATGGCATATAATCTCTTTCTACTTAAATGGAGGAGGGATTGCAATCACATTAAAGAGCTCTACACTTCTTCAAGCACCTTATCCATGTCTAACATTGTCAAATCAATCATCAATTACTTTTATTGGTTTGTCTATTTTTAATGATAAGATTAAGAAAGCCTTGATGGCCCAAAATTCAACCCTATGTCCACATGGTTACACTATTGAAAGCTTTGTTTAAAAAAATATTATTAGGGAACGTTCACATTGCTATTAGAAATTTTACCCCACCAAAATGGTTCTTAGAAATGTAAAAACAATTGATATAACCCTAATCCATATGATAAAGCATGCTAGTTGCATAAATGACTAGGCTTATAAATTTGTGAAACAACTACAATTTCTTAGCTAAGATTTTGGCTAGCTATCTTAAGCCTTGTTACACTTTATATTTTTTTTTGTTTGTTCAAGTTGGTTTAATCAATGGAGAATCAATATTTGATATCATTATCCTTGTAAATGAGTTAGTTAAATTTTTTTTCTAAAAACATAGTAGATAGATGGCATGCACCGAGTTAGATATTAAGAATCTCTTAGAAGTTCTATGAAGATTTCATTTTTCATGCTCTAAGAGAATGCATTTCTTTACAATTCATTTTTTTGAATCAAGACATCTATAATTGTTATTCGTTATTCTATCATTGTTAATAAGAATCCTAAGGGTCTTATTTCCATTCTTCTAATACGATAAGATGAGGGATTTATACTTTTACGTTTAAATTTTGCTTTATCAATAACTTTTTCACTTCACTTAATAATTTATTTTTGTCTACTTCTTCATAGAGCCTTTAGTTGTGAAACTTAAGCTTTCCTATATTTTATATGATTATGATCATCATTTTCTTATAAGACTAATTTAAAAAATCAATATTATCTTCACTAGCTTACATAGTTTTTACTCCATAATAAGCCTTATTGCCTACCCTCACAATAGTAGTATTTATTCATTTAAGACTACAATAAATGTTGTTCCTCATATTATCATTCTTGGGTATATAATCAATTTGCCATCTTCCAATTATTTAAATATTTTTATTCCTAGTCCCTTATTCATATTCATCTTATCTTCTAATTATATAGTAATATTTATTTTATTGGCATGATTTAATTGATAAAAATTTCAATATGAAATTTGATTGTGTGAAAATTTTGATCAATATACATTCATAAAACATCATTAAGTAGGTTGAAAGTCTATATTCTTGATTCCTCTACGACAAGGAAACTAGCTAAAAAACTTTTGTTTGACCTCTTAGGTGTATAGTTCCTCTCAAGGCTACCCATTTACATTTTTAGATTAAGCATCCAAAGCTAAAGCTCTTTGGAATTACTTTCATGAATTTTGGTTTTCTTGTCCTTGGTTAAAAAACACTTTATTCTTTTTTTATCATAGCTCTAACAACTATTCTTACTTATAGAATGACTTTAATAAAATTACACACAAATTCAAACCTAATCTCTCCTTATAATTGGGTAAAAATTTATCTCTCCCATAATTCGATATAATTTTTGATATAAAATTTAGAACATACACATAGTAGACAACTATAAAGATTGGAAGCCTAAAAAAGTATCTATTTTTTAACATCATCGATGACAGGTTATGGCTTATTCACAATAAAGTTCTGTTAGACTCTAAGGTCCTTCCACCAATTAGTATACTTTTTTGTTCTTGACATTCTAAATTTATTTTTTGTCATACTAAAGCCAACTGTAATTAGCTTTCTAGCATATTATACAATTTGTTGAGCATGCTGGTGTACTCAATGTCACTCACTAAGAGATATAGGGATTTATTTTGGGCACTTAAGTCTTATTTATTTCATGCACCATGCAAGCATATGATATAAAGTCTAATGATTGAAAATATTAATAATTAGCTACAAAGTGCAATAGATGGAATAACAATGTTAAAAAAATCCAAATACTCTTTCTTGTAAATTGAGATAGATAAATTGTCAACATCATGATCAAATTTGAATAGAGGTTGCTTGGGATCATTAATTTCAAAGAGATGAGGCCCTTAACAACCTTAAGGATTTTCACGTATGGGAACCAATTCATGATTATTTTTCTAATGGAGGTTGTATTTTAAGCATGTTGCTAAGATATGTGATTCCTTTAATTATTTTTATTTTGATTGTCTATACTAGTGTGATTAAAAGTAAGATGGCAATTTACAATTAGTATATGAATCTTGATAATAAGTAATTTTTCAAT